ATAAAGCAGTAGTTGTGCTTAACCGGAGCTTATGCCTCCGATTTGTGCTAATCAGACATTGAACAACCGGCCCTAAGGCTGTTAATTTCATCTTCCGATTAAAATGATCGATCTTTGTAAATTTTAATTGGAGTTTATTCATTATTATCAAAATCACCCTCTACCAACTTAATTTTTACATATTTTGTCTGTTTTCCCTTAATTTGATAAAATACTTCTTCCTAGTTACGACTTAGTTGCAGCTGCAGACGAAACTAAATTTTAAGTTGGAACTTAGCCAGAAAAGACGAAACTAAGGCGACTATGAATAGCTTTAGTTGTGACTTAGAATAGTTTCGACTTAGTTGAGTACTAAATATGACTATGAATATGCGCCATTGTGTACATTTCCTTTTATATGTTCGTAGCAAAAGTGCCTACCTGGCAATCTTAATCGGCCGTTTACATACGACTTTTGCTTCGCTTTGCTTCATAATTCCGCTTTGACAGATATGCTCAACACATGATTTTATTTGAGCCTTGCCAAATAGAAGGCAAAGAAAGCAAAGCGAAGCAAAATCATGGGCAACTCTCAACTTTTGCGCGCTTTGGCAATCAGCTGTCTACATATACCTTTTCTCGCGCGCTTGCATTTGCATTTAATGACAAAAATAAGGTAAATACGAACTATTATTGCTATTATTTATGCATCTTATTACATTGTTATCTATTTTCCACGGATAAAATATGGAGGAAAAGGAGAACGCAGAAGCTGTCAAAGCGTTTATTGTAACATACCTTTATACGCTTCACGCTTTGTTGCCAAAGTTCGAACTGTCAAGCAAAGCGAGGAAAGTCGTATGTAAACGGCCCTTAAGGGTTGAATTTGCTGAAATTTATACATTTATCCACCAAAGTTGTTTGATAAAGTGATAAACTTTGGTTAAATAGATTTCCATACAAAGTTTGACAGTTCATTTATCAAAATGATAAATTTATCAATTTATTACGTTTATCAAGAATTTATCACTTTTGATGAAGACACCTTAAGTTTAAACTGGCTCAGCAAAACTGACTCTGAGTTCAATACTAAAGGCCGGTTACTCAATGTCCGGTTAACACTAATCTGCGGTTAAACATCGTTATCGACGTCTTCGACTCCATGCATACAACAGGGAGTCGATAACGTCGATAACTATGTTTCACCGGAGATTAGTGTTAACCAGACATTGAGTAACCGGCCCTTAGATTGTAAAAGGCCCGGGTAGTTTTAAGTAACTCGTAAGTTGTTAGTTTCAGGTCTATTCTGCGCTGGTAATAAAAAGTTTGTAACCGGTAATTAAAGTGTCTGTCAATTTTTAAACCCTTTTCGCATTCTGTGTACTCTTGTAACCGGTAAATTTTGTTACCATCTCATAAGCTGGTAACAAAGTATTACCCCGTGAAATATGCAATGCCAGAATTTGCACAATTTTTCATAGCTGAATTGCTGAATATTTTAACTGCATTACCAACGTTCCTAGAATCGCGGTGACAAGAACTGGTAACATTTTTTGGTAATAAAATTTTCCGGTCACAAAATCTTCGGTAACGTGCAGAATAGACCTGTTTGTAAGAGACATCAGAGATATGGATAGACCAACGTGAATTATTAGCTCTGAAAGGTGTGAATAAATCATGAATTGTTAAAGGTGAACATAATGTGCCATTGATGTTTCCAGATGCGAGAGGGACGGACGTGACACGGAAGGGTGGAATGGGGTAGGGGTTGTAAAGGGGGCTCATTGAGGATTGGGGTCGACGATAATTGGCCGTAGTCGACCATGGCAGGGTGGGTTTAGGAAGGTCAGCCAGATAACACCGCTGGCATAGCGGCAGCACTTTGGAGGTGCAGAAACGGTCAGACTTGGGCGGGAGGGGTAAGGACGGGGCGGGAGCGTCATATCTCCTGACGGCGAGAGAGGCGGGTACGATTTTTTTGTATGGTGCGGACGGCATGCGTAACGGATCACAAGAACCACCCCATAGTTCGGCGAGCTAGCTCGTGCTTAAATGCAAGCGTACGCGTGTGATTCTGGGCATGCATGATGAGGATGCGATGGCAGTCAAGAGAGGCATTCGTTCTGGAAGACACATCTTCCGACGACCCGTGCGTAACAAAATTCTAATTGACACCCTTTTCAGTAGGTTTTTTTGCACATTAGTTTCACTGTGAGAACTGATCGTGATAGATACGGATCTAAATAAGCGATTGGAACACGGCTGTTTGTTAAAAGCATACGATTTCGCACTCGCTTAAATGTGCATTTGCTAAATGCGATGACATGAAAGCTTTTCGAAAAAATATGTCCGAAAGTTCTAAATGTTGAATTTTAAATGCAGCAAAAACGCGGCATAAGGCTGATATATTGGCAACACCAAGCACATCCATGTTTTTATTACTCTTACAGGTCTATTCTGCACGTTACCGAAGATTTTGTAACCGGAAAATTTTATTACCGAAAAATGTTACCAGTTCTTGTCACCGCGATTCTAGGAACGTTGGTAATGCAATTAAAATATTCAGCAATTCAGCTATGAAGAATTGTGCAAATTCTGGCATTGCATATTTCACGGGGCAATACTTTGTTGTCAGCTTATGAGATGGTAACAAAATTTACCGGTTACAAGAATACACAGAATGCGAAAAGGGTTTAAAAATTGACAGGAACTTTATTAACCGGTTACAAACTTTTTATTACCAGCGCAGAATAGACCTGTTATAGGACATTCGCACGAGGCGATTTGACAGGCAACAAAAATTGAGTGCGAAGTTGAATGAGAAGTTGAAAGTGAAAAAGTTGCCATACCTATTCAGACGAGGCGATTTTCGATTCAACACGAAGTGTTATTTACATTATAGCAAATGAATTTAAATTGCAAAATTATATCAATTGGCGTAAGTTTGGTAAGCCAAGCGTTGGTAGAAGTGCTTTTAGCGAAGCTGAAAGATAAAATAAAAGAAAAAAAGTAAAAAAGAAAAAAAGCATGTATACAGAATGTAAACAAACACAGGGTTGCAAGGAAAAAAGTTGAACGAGCTCAAAGTTGGCTGGCGATCAACTTTGTTGAAAGCGATTAGTTGAAAGGCCGTTCGTACTAAAAGTTGCTTGAAAAATCGCCACGTGCGATAGCCCTATTAGCTACAACTAGCAGAATAAATGCGACGCCGGGTTTTCGTACATTAGATTCATTCCTTATCTTTTTGGACTAAAATCTGAAAAGTGTCAAAATGCGCTCACTAAAAGAGAATAACAGGAGAGGTAAAGGAACGCAAAGAACCAAACTTTTAGTCCAAAAAATGGCAACAACAAAGCTAACGTCAAATAAGAATGGAAATGTAGGTACAAAACACATTCACACAAGCATAAGCACAATAAACACTTACTATATCAATTATTTTTTGCCTCCTTCCAATTTCAAATCACTTTTTTTACTTTTTAGATTATTCTCACTTTTTGCATATTCTTTAATTTCCGTTAATTTAAATTCATTTGAGTTTGACACTTTTCAGGATTTTGCCAGAAAAAAATCTTCTGACTAAATCCGACCACTTCGGACTGATGAGAATCACTCTCACTGAGTGTTGCTCTCTCATTTTTGCTGTCCTTTCCGAGTTAAGGAACGCTTTTTGGACTAAATCTGACTACTTCGGACTTTTTCTGACTATTTCTGGGAGATAAGGAACGCTCCTATTGTTCTCGCATTAATATTTAGTTAAATCAATAAGTTTCGGGATTTTTTGTTACAAATTCAGTTAAGGTAAACTATGGTGAACATCTAGATAACAATATATTTCCATTTAATGCATTTATTAACGTGAATTTTGTAAAATCATATTAGGTAGCTTCAACCGTTACTAAAAAAAATCAGTGATCGTAATGCGTCTTCTGAACGGCTTGATACGTTAGCTGTCAAATTCAACAACACACAACATTTTGTCTCAAATGATCAGAAAAAAATTACGATCATCTAACACGCAACTGTTCAGTTGATCAGAAGTACAAAACAACGCGTTCAGAAGGTGCAATCGCAACAGCTACTGAGGTGTTGCGCCTTCTGAACGTGCCCATTGCTTACAACTTGCTGTCAAAATGACAGTTGGTTGCCTGTGGAGTTCCGTGGTTAGGTTGGCCTCTGAGGGCCGGTTTTTCAGTGCGCGGCCGTGGTTTAAACTATTCTTAAACGCCCGATCTGCTTGGTTTAAACTAAGATCAGCCAATAAAATGTCAGCCAGCTGATCAATTTAACCTCAGTTTACTTAATCTAAAGGGGTCTTCATTTAAAGTGATAATGGGATATTGCTTAAATTTATCAGTTTATCCGCCTTCTTTCATGAACGCACCTTGGTAAATAATTGTATAAAACTGCTTACTATTTAAGTTATATGGCTAGTTATGTTTCATTCTTAAGGCCTGTATGCAGCTCTCAAGAAAAGCAAAAACTCCATATAAAATGACGTACAAGAAATGGCTAAGAAATTTTCTTGAGTAAAATTTCCTTAACTGCCCGTCTCCACAGGATAAAGTTTATATCTTGATACATATGCTAGAATATAAATAGCCAATGGAGATCGCTCATTGCTCTTCAAGAGCAATATATATCAGAGCTTATATCTTGCCATCTATTGCCGGCAATTTGGTAGTTTGACAGCTACATTTTCATTTGCACGAAAACTTCGTGTCTGCAACATCATTATTATTTTAATATAAAAGCAAAAATTGAGGTGTTTCCTGTTCAAATATTTGTAATTATGTACTTGGATGTAAAAAAGCATATTTTCTAAATTTTTTAAGCGATTAAATCCGGCAAAAATACATTTTCAAAGCTATCTTACAAATGCTTTTATCAAGATATATTAAACAAACACAAATATTGCAACTGATATAACTTTTATCTAGCGACCAAAATGACAGCTGGGCAGCAATAAATTTTATCCTGTGGAGACGGCCAGTAAGGCAGTACGCAGTTGTTAAGAAATTTGTACGCTTTCTACTACGGTTTTCTATAATTTTTTTGATATCAATACTAAGATTGTAATAGAATGCTAAGAATAAATAGCGATTCGTTCGTTCAGTTTTGAAGTATTACCAACCCTACTTTCTGCATATTAAACGAACCCTTCGACTGCAAATGAGTCAGAATTCGGCAAGATGGAGCCTTTCGCTTGGTTTTTACGAAGTACATTCAGCACGTGTATAAAAAGTGCCAAGCTAATTTCATAAAATGTTAGTATAACGTGGAAAATAGTATTTAAAAATATGTATTGTATGCCGAAGTTAGGTTGGTTTTTGTGTGCATGTTAATACGAAGCGTTTTCAAATGGAAGGGAATACAAATTTTACCAATTCAGGTTTATGAAAATTCCCCTGTTGGTGTTTGCGCATTGCTAGGAAGAAAGAAAAGAGAAATACAAGTTTTATGGAAGAACAGTAATGCCGAAATGGTTGTCGATGTCGGGAATTGTACGGTCGATGCCTCGTCAATTGTAACATATGTGTTGGAATCTATAATCCGGTCCAGGAAAAGTTAGCTCAAGTACCGAAACCAAATTTTTGCAACAAGTGCAGTATACGTAAATTTCACAAAAAAAAAATTGTGAGCTCTATAGAGTAATTTATACGGATTTAAACAAAATTTTTCGGGAATGTTTGCTTAATTGTACAACGATTTTATGGTGGCGCCGCAAGGGAGAGGGTGTGGCCCCCAAACCCCCCTTAAACGAAAGAGGATGTACGCAGCTTTATGAAAAGTAACTCGTCTCCCCTCGACACCTCGGAATATGCAAAAAAATACCATATATCCAACCAACATTATTAGTAACTTGGTGCACAGATATAGTAAATTTTATTTTGGAATAAAGCATGATCTGTTGTCAACAAGTGTGCAAAGTTTTTTGATTCGAATTACGCGTTTTGGCGCAGAACCCCAAAATCGTTGTACAAATACGCAAACAGTACCCCTTTTTTTTTGTTTCCACAAAAGAAGTAAGGGGGAAATCTTTAGTAGCGCTCACATCGTTTTTAGGGTGGGGGCGGAGGGAGGAGCTGGCGGAGACCCCCAAACCCTCCCCACTAGAAAGGGGACAGTCCCCGCTTTCTAAAAAGGCGTATTCCCCCCTTGTGCTCCTTCCGCAGTCCCCTAGGGAACCGTTTGAAAAAGGGAATATGACCCAACTAACAGAAAACGTGGGATTATTTAATAAAAGAAATTATGCCAAATTAGATATCGGGCAATTTTGAATAAAGAATAAAAAAGTTAATTTAAAATAGAAAAAACAAGTTTTTATAAAAAAAAATTTCTTTTTAACAAATGTATTTTTGCGTAGAATTCCTTTCTGCGTAGGCGGCCTTCGGCCGCACTTAGGGATTATAACCCTCAGGTAGTAGAATTCTCCGGCATAAATGCAGAATACGTACAATTCTCAAATTAAAAAAATTCATATGGGGATCGATAGAGATCATTGAGGTGAGTGTAACGATGTATTTTTTTTTTTTTTGGGAAACAACAACTACAACAATTATTAAAGGGGTTTCAGTGCCTTTTCTTCGCAACACAGAAAGAGAATTCTACTTTGTGATGGTTATAATCCATAAGTGCGGCCGAAGGGCGCCTACGCAGAAAGGTGTTCTCTGCAAAAGGTGTTCAGCGCCTTTTCTTCGCAACACAGAAAGAGAATTCTACTTTGTGAGGGTTATAA